CATTACATCCAGGTGATTTTTTCTTGGATGCATTGTTTAAAACGTTTGCTAACTCCTCCTCATCTATCGTTCTTATCAAATATTCTTTTTGTTCAAGATTCAATCCTTTCGTGATGAAGTTCATGGATTGATAATCCAAAGAGTCAGAGTTATTATGATTGTTTTCAAAAATAGATTTGTAGTACTTGAAAAATTCATTTTTTATTTTATTGCTATCGGTTGTAATTTCATCTTCAATCTTTAGACGTGACGTTGTTTGTTTCCTATCATTATGTTGAGCAATTTGAAAAATTCCCATTTTCTCTTCTTCAACTAGAGAATTTGGTTGGAAAATTTGAGTGAATTCCTGAAGTTTTTGTTTTTCTATTTCAAATAATCTTTTTTTTAATGAAGTTCATTTCTGAATGAACGTCATCTCCTGCGTTTAACCTGCTTGAAAATTCTTGCATGGCTCGATAATAAATGCTCTTTTCATTCATTATACTAATGTTCCTATTAATAGTGTAACTTCTGAAGAAATTTCTTGTAGTTGTTTTAAAATCTGTGTTCCACCATGAATTAAAATCAGTTTGATATTTATATCTGCGCTTGCAGTTTTCAATGTTCGAATTGTAATCTGAGATTAGTTGATCGTTTTTAAGTATTGCAGAATTTAGTTTCCAGTAGGGTGATTTAGTTGTAGCTGGGCTAGGAAGCTCATTGATTTCAATATTTAATATTACCGCATGGTGATCTGAGAAAGCAAGAGGTACTGTTCTCAACTCACAAGCTTTATCTAGTACATCCGTGGAAAGATAAAATCTATCCAGTCTTGATGCACTATTTCCTCGGAAAACAGTGAAAGCAGGTTTCTTTGACAAAAATTTGGCCACGTCTGTAACCTTCATTTTGTCAACCAATTGTTGCAAACCCTGGCAGAAATTATTGGTTCCTCTACTATCCTCTTTATATAAACAACAATTAAAATCTCCTCCTATAACCAGACCGTCAAAGTTCTTATTTAAGTGTAGCGCTATGCTTTCTGTGAAAAAGTCATTCCTTTCTTTTTTGTATTGAGATCCTGACTGTGCATAGATGTTGATGAAATTGATTCCATTAATAATCAATGATATAATTCGACCGTTAGGGTCTACTATTAATTCAGAAAAGGTAAAATTTTTCCGAATGGCAACTGCCGTAGATCGACTCAAACTACTGTAACTGAGAATAATTTCATAATTTGGTAAAAATGACGATGATGTAATGTTCATTTCTTGAAAGAAAACTATGTCAATATCATTGAAATTAACAAAATCTCGATTGTTTTTCCTTACACACGATCCCGTTTAAATTTACTGTTGCAACTTTAAACGATTTTCTATTCATCCTTCTGATTTTGTTGACAGCTCAGTTGGCCGCTTAGTTGAGCACTTATTTTTCGTTTTTTCGGATCCAGCTCAGACATTTCACTTTCACCTACATCATCCTGGAGACCAGCGAAAATGTTACTCACCGCCACATCCGTTCTCTTACTCACTGAAGCTGCTTGGATCATTCTCACGTCCCGCTCACTGCTCTGAGAAATACCAGCGTCGGATGAACCCTTGCTCACGACCGACGTACCATTCTTGTTGAATTTCGGTGGAACGTTCACCCAGCCACTACTACCAGCAGACACAGCATCACCGCTTGCATCCGTTTGTACATCATCGATCTTTATTCCGTTCTCCGTATCTGCGTTCGACATTTCGTGATCACCACTACATTGTTCAGGCGTGCTATTGTTGTCCCCCACCTCTGGCTGACTTGCCTTCGGTTTCAACAGATCGTTGAGGTTAGTAAAGTTAAGACTATCCTCCGCCTTCTTGACCCTTTCCCTAGGACAAAGTTTCTTATCAGAGCCTGCAGCACGATGTGGGCAATCAGGCTTCAAATGGTGCACACAAAGCACTTTTCCTGCATACCAGAGTAAAACACGTGACATCTGTAATTACAAATGTACACCTGTGGTGGTATTTCCTTGGTCACATCCATGTATATACCTCTGACCCCCTGAGAAGCAATTGAAACCCGACGCCATAGATCGTTTTTCATGCACAATTTTTTTCACCAATCCGAACTTCTTGAAAAACTCCGCGATCTCCCGATCTGGAACCTCTGGTGGAAGGTAAAACAGTCTCACATATTTGATCTCTTCATTCCCGTCCGTAATCATAACCTTCGTATACTGTCCATTCGAATAACCAAATGATTTTTCGCCCACGTGCTGTTCGAGACACATCTTCATCAATGTTTCACTGGCAAACTTAACAACTATGCACTTTTCGTATGGATCATGATACAAATGAGACACTTGTTCTGGTTTAATTCCCATATTTCTAACAACAAACGTGACCATTTCGCCATCGGATGGAGATCTGGTTTGATCTCCAAATTGAACCTTGACCGTATTTTTCCTTGCGTACTCCATTGCACTGATGATAATTCCCTTTCAAATAATAGAAACTATTGTTTCCGCAGAAACAAAACAACGAGGAAAAAAAAACTCTGACTGCTCCTCTGAAACACGTCCGACTACCTCGAGTTTCAAGTCAAAACCTGTTGAAGACCTTGCAGAATTGAATTGTTAACAGAAATTTTCAGAACTCAAGGAATCATGTATATCTAGTGAGAACTTTTCCCACTAGCTTGTCCAAAGTTGGTATCGACATCCTGGCGAAGTTTTGAAATCCATTTTCATCTTCATATCGCAACTCTTGATGGATAAGATGAGCCAGATCCCTGCCGGTGTTCCTCCTGAGCAACCATTTCCTACTCCACAAAGTTCACCTTCTCTTTCTCATTTTATTTAAAATAATAAAAGCAAATACGTCAGCCGAAACTAGAGCAATTTTCCGGTAATTTATGATGGAAGTATTTACTTTTGATTCCTGATACAGTTTTGTTTTGAAATCTAAATTGACAGTTCTTTCGACATGTGCCAGCAGTGTGAACACCAGCAAACAGGGGGGTTCGACAAAGTGTGTCGGAAGTAAATTCGAGCAGATTTTTCATTATGGTGGCGGTCAAAATCAGACCAAGAAATCAGATAGTCTAAACGAACCTTAAGAGATTTTAGACATGTGAAACCATGATTTATTCTGTATTGTAATATTGATTGACGTAATGCATGCTACTGTATGAATAACTAATGTGATTGCAAAAACCAAATACAATATTACACCCATGGATATAATTTCTTTTCGCAAATTATGTGTAGGATAAATGCAGCAATAGTGAAGATACTTTAGTGCAATGTGTTCCTATGGTGGTTCCTAACGTACCTCCATTGGTGCATTTACTAAACATAAATTGTACAAATTAATATTAGGCAACCTATGTGCATCTGTTCTGCTGTAATTTTCAATAACTTTTTTGCTGTGCCGACTTATAAGTACCAACGCCCATGTTTGAACAATCGAAAATAACATAAATCAATAAGTACATAAAAGGGATTCCAGATGGATAAATAGATAAAATAATAATATGTATAATTTGTATGCACCTGAATTTTTTTTCATCCGACCTGGAAAAACCTGGAAAACTCAGGGAATTTGATTTCTTGGATTGAGTAGACATCCTGGATGAGAAACCACTTTTCACTAATATATCAAACTATAACACACGATGATATAAATATCAACCATTGATATAATTGTGTTATAATTTTGTTATGTCCTTCTGATCGGGGTCCGCTGCTGAAGGAAGACGTCTTTGTGTTATTTGCAGCAGACTGCTGAAAAGTTTGGATATTTTCTCTTTTTATTTGCAAAAATGGAAGATTTCCCCAAACAAAAACTATGAGACGCTAATCGACTGATTATTATGTAAAAGAAAACAATACCATATGTTCTGGCCCACGCTGTAGTTTTCGGGCTAACCATTAGAAACAAATGTTAGCCACCGTTGAAATCTTGAAAGTTTTCATCCTTTCTAAGCCCTTTTCCGATCCTTAACAACAATGTCTGATGGGACACATCTTAGCTAAAGTCGTATGAATTGAGATCATTAATTTGGTGACTACAAAATCAACAAACTAACCGAATCCAACTGCGAATGAATCCATTTTGAGGAATGGGAACAACCAACCAAAATTGGTCAGGTGGAAAATTTAATCACTTAGTCGGAAAGGCTCGGAATGTCTTTGGAAACACGATGATAATTTATGCAAATAATAAACAGATTTCAGATGAATTGGTAACCACGGTTTTGTTTCCCGACGGTCGTAATCGCATGCAATTATTCAGTTTCTTTCGATGGGGGTGTGCTTCGAAGGAAATTGTTGCTTTCCTTTCCTTCCGTGCCATGTACAATAATGTGACGATATAATCCTCGCATGGTGTACCGACCGACCAACGGAGACGACGTGATGCTGGTGGGTGGTCGGTCGGTCGTGTTAAATTGGACGGTTGTTAAGCCTAGTGCGAAGGGTAACAAAATGGTCGGTCATGATGACGGATCGATTTTTGGGACCATCCCTTTCAACACCGGGTTCGAAATGCGAGGGAACCGTTGACGGTGGAAAGACGTGGGGAGTGATGGAAAACCGATGTAGTTTTGGAAGTTGTGTGCGAAACAGCTTTTCTCTTCCGAACCCTGGCAGAGGGATGAATAATTGAATAAATTAGCCGTAATGGAAAACTTTGCAAGTAAAAGCCAAACGGTAGTTGGAAGAGGCTCCAGATGATGGTGATAACAAGGTTTGGATCCGGATAGCTTTAGTCATGTCCCCACAGGGTCACAATTTCACCACTTGGCATTCGACCTCTGCCAACGTTCGAAGTTAGTCCCAATATTTTTGCTTTCCCGGAAAGGCTCAAATGAAGAAAAAAAAATCAGTTTAGATAATTCATCGGACAAAACTAAGTCATCGTACGTAAATCCCAAGAGGAATGTCAGGAACCATTATGATCTTCATAACTCATCGCGTGAATTTTTCGGTTTGGTAGCTTCATTATACCGCATAACACTCACCCGCAAAGAGAGCAACAAAATGGTAGTCCCCTCCGGAACCTTCGGCAGTTGAAACCGACGGGCGCAGCGACCTGAAAGAAAACAGCACGAGAACAAAGATTAGTATTTTACTTTCGGAATGGGTGAAGGTTTTTTTTTTTATTAATAATAAGAAGAACGGAAAGCAAGATGAAATATCAACTAACACCACGTACAAAGGACCGGACCGACCCCGGAATCCTCCGGTTTTGGCCGACAATGGATTGAAATTTATTCAGTTGCTTGAACCCACTTCCGGAGGGGGGAGTAAAAGCATCCATGTAGATTCTGTGGGTTATTCCCGCCCGCTACATTCTGACCAAGTTAATGAAAAATTAATTTCCTCTCGTTTCTGGCCTATTCAGCTTCCCGCGATATGGTCCATTGTTTCTTTAGTGTTATTTTTCGTTTACTTTTGGACGGTTTTGTGCAAGGGTAGTATCTTGGAGGGGATGGCCCCGGGCTGGACAGAGAGCGACTGACGAGTATTGTACAATGGGGGAAGGTCTTCATCGTCTTCTTCGCATTTTCAAGCTTATTGCTCTTCGCATATTAGCTTATTGCGTGCTCTCAACTTAGTGATACTTAGATGCAGTTTTTATTGAGAGCTTTTGATTCCTGTACCACTTTTGCATTAGTATAATTGTGTGGCAAAAGTTCCCAGGGGAGGTGGGGAAATGTTCCAACCCGAAAAATTCCTAGACTGGACCGGGGAATCGAACCCAGTTACCTTCAGCATGGTCTTGCTTTGTAGCTGTGCCTTTACTGACTGAGCTAAGGGAGGGCCCACATGGGAGGGTTGAATTAGGGCGATGATCAAGTTTGAGTACGAAGCGACTAATGTATCGGTGAAAGTAATTAATTGGGTTAAAAGCGGTATTCACACAAAAGCAAGAAAAAAGGTGATTATTTTCCTTTTAATTCCATTTAGTATTGTGTATGCAGCGGCGCCGGTGGTGTAGTGGTTAGCGTGATTACCTCTCAAACCAGTCGGCACCGCCGGGATGTTCTGAGGCATAACATCTCTGATCACGTCTTCCTTCGGATGGGAAGTAAAGCCGTTGGTCCCCGGTTCATGAGTTGATGGGTCGATAGGTAGGGTCTAGGTGTGGCAGCTGCCTTCCTGGCACGTCGGTAGCATTGGTGCTCAGCACAGAAAACAAGATCGACGGAAAAAACAAACCTAAGGAAAAAAAAAAAAAAAAAAAAACTACAAGGACAGCCCAATGGGGTTGTTCGCAATGATGATGTAGGACTACGTGGTATGATATAATAAATGTTTTTGTTAACTGCAGCAGGAGCTTGTGTTTTGTGCACGCTTACTTCAGCTTACTCACCGGGTGAGTCGATCGTACTCAATTTCGTCTGATGCATTAGGTTGTCAAAATCTGAGTAAACGAGAAATGTCAAACTGAGTAAAAGCCACTCAGTCAGCCAAATCCGGGACTTAGAAAAAAAAATGCCAGAAATTATTGCGTAACACAGGCCGAAATGCATTAAAGTAAGCAGGAATTGCATGCTGAGACGGTTTTCGGTCGTCTTCAGCTCCAGTTAAATAAATCTGGAGCAGCTAATTTCAACTTTTTATCAGAACAAAAAAAAACAAACTTCCCGGCTGTAAATATCTCAGAGTGGTTTTGGCCCACTCTGCGCGAGAACGTTGTTTACTCAAAATTGAGTAAAAGCGCGTCTACTCACTTTTGAGTAGCCATACTTCCCACTGAAACAGGCTTCCGAAAATCTCATGCACACATATATGCGACAGTGAGCTGTGAAACTGGTTGTCACATTTCTCTTTGTCTCGTCAGGAGCAACACAAGCTGAGGTGACGCGACACTGTTATTGTGAGAGGGACACGTCACACGCACATATTTTTGTCGTGCACCTCACAAGTTTTTTTCTCATCTCTTTTCCCTCGCAATGTATGCATGTGGAATATAGTGAGATAAATATATGAGACGTCTCAATGAGACGTCTCAATGAGTCGTCTCAATGAGACGTCTCAGTGAGACATCCAAATGAGACATCTCAATGCGACGTCTCTATACGGCTTTGAAATGACAAATAAAATAAAATAAACAGCAAGGCTACCATTTGAAAAAAAGCGTGTGTTGCTGAATCAGTTTCAATTTCCTGGGAATGAATATTTACACATCCAAGCAGGGAGAAGAGGAAGTAAAATTATTTTCACTCCTCTTCCCCTTAATCCATAAAAAATGATAAAGCATCTACATAATTCCTTCCTTTTAATTAGCTACGGGTGTGACAACGATTGTGACTTCATTATGTTATATCTTCATGTTATTTCAGCAACCTTCACCCCAATCCTGTATTTCGTTCGAAACGAAATTCTCATTCAAACAAATATTTTTTTGTATAGGAATTTCGTTTTGAACGCAATACATTATCTTCCAGCAGACGCTCTGGACAGCAATTTCAACATTTATTAAAATAAAAACTACATTTGCCAGCAACACTGACTGGGTGTATCCTATGGCTTACCTTCCCTATTAACATAATGTCTAAATTCCCGAAATTTATTACATTTATGAGGGGTCGTAGAGTTCTCTGCATCTCTCTTAAGTAAATGTTAGACTAACATACATTTCCTATCCCAGTTGTTAGGACGTGGCCAGGACAATCCTTAACTGTGGGAGCGGGATATTTCTTTATCTGGGAGATAGTAATTATTTCCTACTAACTATCTATCCAGTAATAGATATCCGACTTGCTCTTAATAGTTTTGAATTCGTACCACTTACAATATTGTGCAACTTTTTCGATGTTTATGCTAATGCTAATGCTAATCCAAGCAAATTAATCCCAAATTATGTGTCGTAAGTGAAATGTGATTATACGTTAATTGCGATTAATATGCTCTTTTGTCAATTCAATAGGATTTCTTAATGCAAACCTGGACCAATTTACAAGATCTTTCCGGGAGAACTCCATTACCATCAACATCTCAACAGAGAGATGTTGCAAACGATGCATTGGAGGCATATTTGCAATCCTTGGATGATGCAACCAACAATAAAGAGGAATCCGAAGTAATCGACGAGCTGAACGATTTATCTTATTTGGATAGAAAGCTAACAAACCAAGTTTGTTTTCCTTAGTTTCCACCATCCTTGCGATCCCGTGCTCGCAAGTTAGCGTTGAACACACTTTCAGTGCTCTGCCGATTGTGCTAACTAAGTTTAGAGCTCAATTAAAGGAGGAGACACTGAACAATATTCTACACACTTAGATTTTTTTGCCCAGATGGGCACCACCGAGCAGCTCGGTATTTTATTTTGGTGGATTTCAGTGAAAAACTTGCCGAGATTCAGGAAAAATTTTGTTTGTTAGCTGATATCTCGGCAAAATGCCCATTTGTTAGCTGAATCTCGGCAAGTATTTCACTGAGATCCAGCAAAATAAAATACCGGCCAAAAAATCTAAGTGTGTACTCATTCGGCTTAACTCTGACCTTTTGAAGAAGGTTGATTTTAGTAAAACTTAAAAAGAAACGTATCTTTGAATGAGTGTCATGATCTGAATGTTATACTTCAAATGAAATGTTTTTTTTTTTTTTTTTAATAAAGGCCTTTTCAGGAATCAGAGAGGCAAAATACATACATGCATATAACTGAGTTTTGAGAGCTGTTTGGGATATTGATAATCTAAAGTTAACGCCCCATGCGTTTAATATGTGCTTCATTTTCAATAAAAATAAGGCAAATACACCACCAACGACACCCTCCCTTATATTTTTATTCCATTCTGCGTATAAACAACACGATAAATCAAAATAACCCAAATACCTACCACTGGATGGCTTAAACAGTTACAAAGATATGAGATTCATGATGATGAACAAAACCGATTGCATTCAGAGGTTTGATTTAAAAAAATCTACTCTGTATCCCTATTTGCCAAACTAATTTTTAAACAGTTATGAAACAGAGAGCGATGCAACTCTTCTTTTTTTTTTTTTGATTGCGTCATTTGGTTTAGAGATCCCTGTTTAAGCGTGGCAGAAGAGGACATTGGCTCTTTGCAGTGATCCGTTTTACCGAACTCCCATTTAACTATCAGAGTACCAAACCTGCAAACTGATAGTTAATGCTGTGCACAAACTCGCGTCTCGGAAAAAGGAACAGTCGTGCTGTGTCACAACATTGGTACATAGTTTGCAGGCTTGTCACTCTGATTCTTAAGTATTTAGGGATAACTATTTGAACTCTCTACGTTGAATCAAATATAATTGTATGTTACCGAAAGTGGCTCTTTGAATACCGGTTGATCACAGTGGCCCTTCGTGACGAATAACCTTGTGCTCTTTTGTGCATATAATAATCGTATGACTAACTATTAAAACAAATATAAATTCTATCTTGCAATCCAATCCACGCACGGTGGCATCATGGTGCACAATCCACCGTTTGGGAGATTCCTGTACTAGAAAGCAGTCAAAAACAAATTAAGTTGCTTGGTTGCTGCAAAACTAATGAAAACGGTAATTCGAGTACTTATTGATAGTTACTCGAATCACGTCACGTATTGCACATCGTATGAGTAAAATACCAAATGCTTGATACTACACACTTAGATTTTTTCGCCGAGATGGGCACCACCGAGTAGCTCGGCATTTTATTTCGCTGGATCTCAGAGATTCAGCTAACAAACGGGATTTTTTCCGAGATCTTAGTAAACAAAGATAAATTTTGCTGAATCTCGGCAAGTTTTTCGCTGAGATCCAGGAGGGCCCAAAGGAGTCACGTTAGAAAAAAGTTCTTCAATGAATTTTTCGTTGTTGTCGACTGCTTTTCCACCATTATAATCGTATTTTTATTTACTGCGATGATGATAGGTTCTTTACTCTTAGGAAATTTAATCCAAGTCGGACACAATGACGAGCGTGTAATACTGCTTAAGTGGCTGCAGATACAAGGTATTCACTGAGAATTTTTGCTTTTTTATGGACTAGTCTCACGGGTAAAGGCTTGTTTACCGGATTACGGTATAGGCCTATTAATAAACTAAAAACTATGGGGTATCGAAAAAACTG